AGCATTTTGAGAGAGCATATTTGCCTCAAAAAGCCTTCCTTAGTCATTTTGAAGGTTATCTACCTAGACCTTAGGGATGTTATGGTTAAGAGCCTCTGACGAAAATGACAGGAAATCATGGTCGATTGTAACACTTCAACAAGATCCTAATAGATGTCTTCTATTTAAGGATGAATTGGGGGATCACCTATGATGGGGTGGTCCCATCACCTAAGATGGTTGGTCCCATCTTCTAAGATGGTTGGTTCCATCTCCTAAGATGGGTGGCCCCATTTTCATGGCTCTTACGCTATCATATGATGATCAGGAGAAGGAGAAGATTGGTACGACATGCTTATAGCATTAAGCATACACATTTGCACAAGTCTATATTATAATTGTGATTGATTGGGTTACATAGTGATAGTCATCAGTGATGGATCCAAAAATTTTGTTATGACGACAATATTTATATATAAACTAATATTTTAATACTTAATAAAAAAATGTATCAATCCGTCATGATCTCTACACTTAACAACTCAACTACAAGTAGTGGAAAAACGTCTAATTACCTAGGGTTAATATATAAACAATACCTGGATATATCTTCAATAATATATACATGTAGACAAATATAGACAACTACTAAAGTATATGTGTGCAAGTATATAAATATGTACAAGATCTAGTACTAAATACTAATCCTAAGTTGCCAATAACAACACCAGTTGTATTAGAGTAGCTCAAAAAGACATAGCTCGACCATTAACCAACATGGCCCCAAAAGAAAACCTTGCCTCCAGTTTATCCCTGTCCTATTCCTATGTAGACATGGTCATCGCAATTCAATCACAAGAAAACATGTGAGTGTAAGCTAGTATTCAAAAGAATAATTATATAATAGGTATAGAAATATAACAATTATACTACTAACATCAACATGTAAACCATACAACACAACAACAAGGTTTACCACTAGCACCTCAACATGGCATTCAACCTTAAGAAGGTAAACAAATCAATCACATCATAGTATACTTCAAATTTGACCACAATAATGTCATTCAACCACAAGCCACATAATGTATAACACCTTAACTTCATGCGTCATCATACATTCACTTATGTAGATCTCCTACAACAAAGGGCAGTCTAAGTGGCTTGATCCTATTAAACCAACATGATTCTTTTACACCTTCCAGATCAAAACCTAATTTGGATCAAAGTCCATAAAAGCATGGTTTCTCGAATGTCACCACTTAAACTAGAAAGTCTAGTATTCCTATAAGGGTAAAATATCTTAGGTGTGAGTCAAGACATTAGCTTGCATAACCAAACCATATATGAGATTAGCCCACTAATTACCCTCCAAATACTATGCTCTTTTAATACTCAGTTAGGGATTTTGGCCCCTAAACTTTGTACCTTACTCAGTTGGTCACTTTATATACATATGCCTCAATCTTGCCTACATATGGATCAATATTGATCACTTGTAATCAGTATAGATTGAAATTTCCCTTATACTATGATCACTTATAGTCAGTATGCCTCGATTATGCCCACATACCACATCAACTAAGGTCTTATAGAAAAACTCAAATATTTACTATAAGAGTCAATTACTGAAGAAAGATTTTCTACATTTGGGCTTGTAGAGCTCCACACTGATATCCTCACAATGGGATATCCAACTCTAAAAAACACCCTTTCCTCTAGTCCTTGTAGACACCTAATTTCGTCTGTGACATACAAACAAGGAAATGGACATCTAGCATGAAGAAAAGGAGCTCGCGAAGGACTAGAAACAACACGTCATGACACCAAAAGGCCCAAAGCCCAATAAGGGTGTTTTAGTAGCCCGAAACGGGCCGTTTCCAATCTAGAACGGGCCGTTCCAAACTACCAAAAGGGCCTAGAAACCCTAGTTGGGAACGGGTCGTTCCAATACAATTTGTTGAGTAGAATTCAAATGCAAAATGGGTCGTTCTAGATCCGAAATAGCCCGTTCCAAATTCAAATTTGACTCATAATAGATAGGTCCAGAACGAACCGTTCCCAATGTTGGAACGGTCGTTCCGAAACTAGAACGGCCCATTTCCCTTTCTAGAAAAATTTATGTTGGGAAACATTTTTGTTTTGATAATATCTCCCTCTCAAGACCCAATATTCACAATCCGGCCGTTGAAGTTAAAGATCAATGTGTTAAGAAGCTATCATCAAATTTTTAGGATGATCCAACGGTTAATTATTTCTCTATAGGCTTCACATTGCAGCTGGAAAATATGTGTCCTACACCAGAGAACGTTTTTGTTATGATAGTATCTCTCACTATTGTTCTACTTTCAACAATCCAACCGTTGAAATTGAAGATCAATATATTGTGAGAATACCATGAAATTCCAGCACAATCTGACGATTAACAAGTTCTCTAGAGATCCTTCATGATACCTAGGAAAAGATGGTATTTTTATAAAATTTAGTCCCACATCTGATGGCTCTCTTATGCTTTTGTCTCCTAGTTGACCATATAAGAAACCCTCTAAATATGGAAGAAATTTGTGCCATAACTTTACAAATATAAATACAAAGTTAATAATTTACTCATTTGAATTATAAATTTGTTATCAGCTAAAGTTGTATTTCATTTTTAGATATTATATTCTTTTTTGCTTGAGACAAAAAAGAAAATGTTACAGAATATACCTTATACATTATTAAGACACCACATAATATATATAGTACTGTAAAATAAAAATAAAATGAAACTGGGAGCATTCTGAATGCACGTTCAAAAGCTGTTATTAAAGCAGTATATATATTTACTTTGGTGAACCAATGTTTTATTGAGGGAGTGCAAATGCACCTGTCACTTTTAGAAAATTATAACATGTATTTAGAGGTTTTACATTTCTTCCCTTATTTCTATATATTTGAAACTATTAAATTCAATTTATCGTATTATTACCATTTTTCATCTTTCACCACTTTATTTCTTCTTATTACCAAATTTCGTCTCTTTTTTATTTTTCTTAAATAAATTGTTTTTACTATCTCAAGATACTAGATTTAACATTGTGTGTATATATATATAATCTTTACTAAAGTTTGTCAAAAGGCATAACTTTAGATCACTAAACACATGAATTAACTTTTGATCACTCAACACATGAATCAATTCACGTAAATTTATTTAAGTTTAATGTCTCAAATTTAATATTAGATATGTAGTTGTGTTAAAAATACTTAAAAAAAGAGTGTCATTTATAATGACACCCAATTTGAGCAAGATTAATGGAGGAAAAATAAAAGGTATAACCGGTAGTTTAGCATACGTTACTGGTTTAATTTACGGTTACACCTACTTTATTGTTAATATTGTGTCTGTTGTTGTTTTTTTTTTTTTTTTTTCATTGTTGAATTTATTTCGGAATAATGTTAGTTGCGCATTACGTGTAATTTTACTTCATTAGTAATATCAATGAGTAACATGAAGAAAGAGAAATGGTCAAATGGATTGTTGTTGACGAAAGTGTGAATTCTTCCAATTAGTTCACAACATTTTATGCTAGTTAACCTAGTTGGTCATTTAATTAGGTGATTGAATTTGTTATTAACGTAAATGAAAAAAAAAAAAACACTCCAATTAAACAAATCTATGTAAGAAGAGGTATGTGAATTTCATAGAAGGGCAAAAGTTAGATATCTTTAAGTGTGATTGATATTATTCTCTAATTATAGTTAAAATTTTACTTTAATAATAAATATGTATTAATAAAAATTATATTAATTATAATTACATATTATCGAAATAAAACTTTAATTTTGATTTGAGAATCAAACTTAAGTAACCTTTCATGTAATCATGACAAATGAGATCCTTAATATCAACAAACTATAATAATAATTGGTTAGTTATGACTTATGACTAGTTGAGAATATAAAAAGAGAAAGAGAGGAAAGTGGGTAATTGTGGGAACATTCAGGGAAATTACATTCTCTCTACGCAGTATTCTATTCCAGATACTTTTCTACGTCGGACAGAGATTAGGAATTAGGGATTAAAACAATAAAATATCATTTCATTCTATATTCTGAAATCAGTTTGTATGCAAAATTGCAAACAGATCAACAATCGTTATTATGTACATATTGTATGTGTATATACTTATTATAAGTAAATGATCATATATGGCTTTCCTTTTTCTCCCATCTATTAGTTTGGTAGATATGATCCTAAAAGTCATTTGAGAAAACTAGGTGCATATTTGGTTATACATCTCAAAAGATCAAAGTCAAATTGATAGTTACTCTATAACTTGTGTTACTCTATAACTCGTGTTTTTATGCATCATATTAAGAACACCGGTCCAAACACACGCTAGTTATGCCTATGTGACGTAATTGCTTTGCTTGGTCTATTTTTAGCCTACATGTAGGGTGAAGAACAGTTCTAGTTTTGCTGCAAGAACATGCATAGACACGAGTAATAGTAATTTTAGATTGGTCAACTTTTTTCTTTTTACCACAAATTTGTAAAAGGAAATGGTGAACTATTATAGCACTAAATTACCCACCTAATGCGATCCAATCCAAAACAATAATATCTATAGAATAATTAATGTTTTCGACTCAAAACAGTTATGCCAATATCATAATCTTAAGATAAAAACCACAAATATGCCGTTATGCCAATATCATAATTTTAAGATTACAACCACATTTTCATATCACCCACTAAAAAGGGAAGGGACAAATATCACACCGGAGAATGGATTCTATTATGCAGGATTTTCACTTCAATTTTCTGTAACGAAAATCTCCACCATAAAAATGCCTTCTTTTTTATTATTTAAAATTTCTCTCTTGTTTTTAATTAAGAGCTAAGATTTTAACGGACAAAAATGTCACATGAGAGGATCCAAACCCTCGCACCAGATACATTAGGAGCAGTGACTAATTGTTGTGGCATGAAATACTTAATCAAACTTAAATTCATTATTATAGATTCATAAACATAATAACGTCAATAACTAAACTCCATATAAAGCTGAAATGATCAACAAAACGTCTTAAAATACTGCAAATTGTAGCCTCTAATACATATAACCTGGAGCATTTTTATGACCTTTCTTTTCAGAAGGGTAAAACAACCATAAAATTGAAGTTTAGTTTTAGTTTTTTTGTCACAATTCTTGTACAGAAATCAAATCCATGAATCAGTGATGATATTGCAACTGGACCAAACCTGATTCATCAAAAAAGGCTCATTTTATTTGGATTCTCTGAATAAAACATGGCGCTTTACCTTTGGATCATATTTCTTCAGCTCAAGCTTATCCATCTTCTTGCTTTTCTTTATTGCATAAAAGAATCCAGTCCCAGCAGTTGAGACAAGCCTGATGACCTTACTCTATGATAACAACAACTTTGTTATGCAGATCAACAAGAAACAAAATGTGAAGAAAAAAAAAAAAAAAAAGATCCCTATCATGTGTTGGTTTCATGGTGTGAAGCATTAGAATTGATTGTATTCAATGTATTTTGTCAAACATGATTTTAGGTGTTAGATAAAATTGATTTTCCCTTCAAACCTCGGTTTGACTACATGTGCGTTTTGTTCAAAACAGGGGATTCAAGTTCAGTGCAAAATCACATAAAAAAACAACACAGAATATTCAGGTGCAACTAACGAGTTATCAAACACACTACAGAAGTCATAAAAAATAAGTTTTAGAGTGAACTTGTTTTTTTTTTTGGATAAAAACACCAAAACATAAATCACCTCATTTCAAAATCAATTTCATTCAACTAATTTTGCTAAGACTCATCCAAAAACACACACACCTAAAATTTATTTAGATAAACTTCTCCAGAATCACTTTTAGGAGAAAAAAAATAAAAACTTAAATAGAAAATTTGAAATAAACTTCTCTATAAGATAAAAGTAAAAGTAAAACTAACTAATACATAAATTAAAAATAAGTTTTTGAAGAAATTAGTACGAGAGAGCTTTTACAAATAAGCTTATGTACAAGTTAAAAAACTTATTTCATTTTTCCTTCCTATTTTTCTCTCACAAAAGTGCTTATAGAGAAGTTTATTTAAACATACCTTAGGTCTATTTGGATAAATTTCTCCAAAAACACTTATAGAAGAAAAAATGAAATTAATTTTTCTATAAGCTAAAATCAGCTAGCACATAAATTTAAAAAGAAAATTAAAGAAATTAATAAAAGACAGCTTCTATAAATTAACTTTTACATGAGCTAATTTTAGTTGATGAAGAAGCTAATTTCATCTTTCTTTCCTATTTTCTCTTTCTATAAGTGTTTCTAGAGAAGTTTATCCAAACAAAATAAAATCCTGTTTGCTCTAATTTGTATACAAGTCTAGAAGGACTTTTAAGAGTTTTTCTACCAGAAAATCCTCTTTATTTTCAATAAATAAGCTCTCAAAAGTCCTTCTAGACTGTATCTAAACAGGATCTTATAGTGTGTTTGACAAGATATTTCATGAGCTTATAAGCTAGTTTGATCAAATTAAGCTTGTTTGATACCAGAATTTATACAAACTTATTTTAGGACCTTATAATTTATTTTCATAAGCTAATTGAAATATCTTATGGCTTATAAGTATTTTTTTTTCTTTCACCTTTATTCTTGTTAATTTACTTAAAATCTTTTTTTTTTTTTTTTACCTTTTTAATTAATAAATTATTTTGCCTATTTTGTCCCCCTCGCACTCTCTTTATAAAAACTATTTTACATCATTTTACATTTATCAACTAGCTTATAAGCTTCTACCTTTTTAGCTCCTACATTATACTTTATAAGTCTTCAGCCAGCTTATAAGCTTCTATCTTTTCTGCTCCTAGCTTGTAGTTTATAAGTTTTCAGCCCTAGATTATAGTTTATAAGTTTCTAGCTAGCTTATAACCTAATTTTATCAAAGACAAGCTTAGTCTAATTCACTAGCAAAAGGTTCTTTTTCCCATGGTATTGAAGAAAGGGCAAAAGAATGGTAAACAAAAATGCAGCAATAATAATTAGCAATGCAATAATTTTAGGGCAATTGAGACACAAAATTTGTAGAAATTGGGGGAATAGCTAGCTACCTTTTTCTTAGAGGAGCCTGAACCCTTGGCCATACAAACAACGGGAGAATGTGTTGTTGGGCGGCAAAACATGTCCTTTGACAAGTAACCTACAAACCCACCAATTCAATTTGCGGTTAAGGAAGTAATCGACGAAAGGGTTATTGTATTTGGAATATTACCTCTGGAGAAAAGAGCATTGGATGAGAAAGCGAAGGGCCTGAAATTTGAGTGAAGAGGGTGATTGAAATTGAAGTATGAATTCCTTTTCTCAGCGGAAAATGGAACAGCGAAGCCTGAACAAACAACTCCTGTTGCAGACGCCATTTCTCTTCTCCGTAGAGGTGAAGAAGATAAACGGATAAGGAGCAGAATTTTCACTCTAACAAGTGTTTGTGTTTTTGTTTGTGTCAGACTCAGACATGCTGAGTCATTCTAGCCTTACGTTTTAACACATGGCGCAGAAGAATAAGATTTGAAACGGAAATATATGGGCCGAGATAAGAACTGGCCCAATTCAGAAACAGTAATACAAGGCCCAGTTATTTGTTCACAACCCATTAAGGGAGTTCTTTTGTGGGCTACACTACGTGGAATGGTTTATTTAGAGATTACTAGTAATACACTCTTTAATTTATATTTATTGGTTTAGTAGTTAAGTGTGATTTTGTAGAGAAAACAGTGTGAGGATTTCAATTCTCATCTTCATTATGACCATTTTTTAATTTTATTTTCACATGACATTATTTGATTTCTAAATTATTTAAAACAATAGCCACAGGTTATTTTTCTTGCATCTAGTTCGTGCTTCGACCACTCTAGGTGATTGATTAATCATGTCCTCTAGTTATTATTTTATTTACCTTGAATTAATTGAAGTGATAAATAAAATTTAATTATATTATTAAAAAAATTATTATGACCATAAATTTTAGGTGAGACTCGGTAATTGGCATAATTTCCATCGTGAATTTTAACCAATTTACTCTTTTATTGTCTATTCTATACCACGACAGCAATGGGCTTCTGGCCCAAAACAAAGGACGGATGAGTGTTTGTTAACATGTTGGGCTCAGTGCTTTTGTGACCCAACAGAGAGAAGGAAAAAGAAAAACAAAAGAAAAACAAATAATTAATGAAACACTCCATGCATCAACTTAGGTCATGTGTTCTTGGGTTAAAGAAAGGATAAAAAAAATTATATCACTGATCCCAATTAATGTGATACTGACCTAATTAATTAATTCAATTCTCAACTAATTGTATTCATTCACAAACAATAATTCATCCATTTTAATTAAGCAATATTTCTAATATTTAAAAACGCTAATTTCATTTTAAACCCTTACACTCATATTTTTCATTTATCTAATCCATAATATTTTCCCAAAACCAGTTGCAACCACAAACATTAAAACTATAAACCAAAATAGTAGCAAATAAAATCCAATACTAATTTATATCCGAAGCATCACATCTTCATCACTGTGTTTGAGCCATTTGACAATATTCCATGCATTGAAGTTAGTGATTGAAAACAGTTGGATATGAATGCTCAAAGTTGATGCAAATCATATTTGAGTCACCTCCCTACACATCATCAGTAAGGCATCTATTTTATACCAATCCAATATCAATCAGACTTGATGTGTAAACTTATTTCATTAAGGTAAACAGTGTTAATTTGAGAAAAATGTAATAATTAGACAAGAGTAAAAAAAGAGCATTGCTACGTAGTCCGAAACAAAGGCCAAAATACCTACTCTGATATCTATCATAAATAAATAAAAATATTTTAATATATGTTAAAAAAATTAATTATCTACATTAAATTTTACTAATGTTATCATAATTTTTTACATTGACTGAAAAGTAATGCATTAAAGGAAAAATATTTTTAAAAAATATTATTAAATAAGATAAAAGTAGTTGAACTTTATTTGTATCTAAAAAAAAATACATTTTTTATAATAGAGATAATATCAATGATAATAATAAAAAAATTAATAAATGTCTGCATGATCATAGTTAGTTATTAGGTAACTTTTTTATTTATCATATTCTCAATAAATGCATTATATGCATCATGTTGTTGAAACTTTATGGTTATAAATTAACTCTTTTCATCTCTCTTATCATGCATAATGTTGAAACTTTATTTCTAAAAGTACAATTTATTTTTTACAGTAGCTGTTGAAAGAGGATTGTAGATGAAAATGACACCACGATTCAATGATGATCGTTAGGCATTAGATATATAATATGAGTGAAGAAACATTCTCCGAATTCTTTTCCGAATCATCGTCCGAAAGTTAAAATATTAATATTTTTTAATAAATTTATTATAAAATAATTATTTAATTTAATATTTTATAATTTAAATTAATATTTTAATATTTCGAAATGTTTTTCGGAAAGAAATATTTTAATATTTTAATATTTTTTGTGCAGTGCATATTGGAAGGAAAAGTACTTTTAACTTTTAAAGATAATAATTAGTATGGGTATTTTAGACAATAAGAAAGCATAGACAACAAAATTTAGTTATTAAATTTTAAAATACATGATATAAAACCTTAAATAATAATTATTTTGAAATAAATATAATATAATATAATTACTTTTTATTGTGTAGAACCTCTCCATATGTCACATTGTATAATGGTCTATTTAGTGAAGTGAAGAATTCATGTTCAAATTTTGTTGTGTGTGAAAGTTTGTTAGTTTAACGATAATTATAATAATATAAATAAGATTAGTCTCTACTTTAATAAGTTGGGAGATATTTGTGGGCGAATAAAAAAATTAACTTAATTTTAAAAAAATGTTATTATACATATAGTAGTATTTTTCTATCTCTATATTATTATTTTTAATTATTTTTTAAATTAATGCATTGTATTGAGTAAAACAATTATACATAAATAATATATTTTTTAAATTTTTAAATTTTTTAAAAATTAAAGTCTCATATAGAGTAAACATAAAAAAATATATAACAAAAAATAAATAAATATTGATATTTAATAATTTTAATAATGATTAACTTATGATGTCTTCAACCTTACAAAATTTATAAACAAGAATTAAAAAATATAAGTGACAATATTATTTATATTAAAATTAATTATTACTTTATAAAATTCACAAAATCTTAACTATATCCTTAAAATGTTATAGACTATTTGATAACATTTTTAAGATGTCACCATTAGTTTATAAAGGTATTATTAAAAGAGTATAGTAACATGAACTTTATGATTAATAACATTTATTGGTAATTTAAGAATATTCTTTTAATAGCGGTAAAAGCAGATGGAGAAATTGGTTTTTGAAAGAAATTAATAGTTTAGAGTTTAGAGTGATGAGAATTTGAAAAGAACTAGAAGCATAGATATTTGATATGTTTTTGTCATTTAGTGGAAAGAGAAAGGGTACGACAATGGTTGTTAATTTTGGAGCTTAACAGAGTGAAGTGTTGGTACGAAGAGAGTCGACAGACACACGACAAGGTGGTACTGCTATCCGTACCGGTAGCTAAGTAGCAGCAGCCAATCAATTAATCAAACGGCGGAAAATGGTCCCATTCAATTTACCAATCCCATCCAATCTCACACTTCACATTATTATTCTTACCCCTTCTCATTCTTTCTTACATCCATTAATTACCTTCCCATACATTTTTTATTTTTAATGCAACTTTAGATCAACCCTTTCATTATTTATATAATATTATGTGTATGTGTGTTTGTTTTATTGGTAGAACTCATTTTTAGATAATTATACAAAAAAAAATATGTGAGATGAAACTTTTAAATGAATATATTTTTGTTTTTTCTAAATCGAAAATTAAATATGTCAATTAATTATAAATTATGTTAAGTTAATTAATAATGTTCTAAATACATTGGTTTATATTTTCCTTTTTATATAAAGACAAAAAAATATTTATTTCTTTATTACATAAAAGACTAAAAATATAAATTATTGTTCACGTTTTTGTAACACCTTTATACCATGCGTGTTAGATAATAAATTAAATTTTAACAAACTGTTTTTATTGATTATTTAATGAATTTGCACATTTTAAATTTCCACAAGAAAATTCAATAAGAATGGTTAAAGTGTTCATGAGATATTGATTTCATAAATTTAACCATTCAAATTTGGTTATCATATTTATTTGTTCCTAACCTAAAATAATAAGATGATTTGACTAGTTATAATTATAATTTAATACATTTTAATCTTTAGTATTTGATTTCTTTTCTATTTTTTATATATTATTTTTAATATCTTTATGATCTTATATAGTGTTATGACATGCTTTAATTTGATTATATTTATTGTGTAATATTTTTTCATCATAATTTTTAGTAAAAAAATAATGAGATTTGCAAAGCAATAATTATAGAAGAAAATAAAAACTACAAAAAATTGAGTTTTTGAGTTATAATGATGTACATCAATTATTGACTAAAGTTGAAAATTTGTAGATAAATGTCTTTTAACATTTACTCATGGTCATGGACAATCTATATATCCATGTTTTGTATAACAACTTTTTAAGTTTTGCTTACAACAAACAGTTGTAATTATAACTATTTAAATTTTCTTTACATTAAATAAGTATAAGTAAAGTATTTTTTTTTTTGTTTTACCTAGGGTTATATTATCAGTAAGAATAAAATACTCGTAGGTACGTGGCATTTTTCTTGTAATGAAAAATTAAACATAATATATATATATATATATTTTAT